GAGAGGGGGCTGGGTGTTGTGAGAGGGGGCTGGGTGTTGTGAGAGGGGGCTGGGTGTTGTGAGAGGGGGCTGGGTGTTCTGGGAGGGGGCTGGGTGTTGTGAGAGGGGGCTGGGTGTTGTGAGAGGGGGCTGGGTGTTCTGGGAGGGGGCTGGGTGTTCTGGGAGGGGGCTGGGTGTTCTGGGAGGGGCTCAGAGTTCTGAATTCAGCAAAATTCAGAGTCGTGTCTTGGCTGTGAGCGAGGGGACGCCTGCAGGACTTTCGTCTGCCCACGCTGCTCATAACTATTGTGAGCCCCGGGTGGCTGGTTGTGAGTAGTGAAGGAAGGGGGGCCCAGACCCCCGCCTCTCTCAGTGAGAGGGGGAGCCCAGACCCCCCCCCCCCCGCCTCTTCCAGTGAGAGGGGAGAGCCCAGACCCCCGCTCCTCTCCCAGTGAGAGGGGGAGCCCAGACCCCCGCGCATCTCCCAGTGAGAGGGGAGCCCAGACCCCCGCTCCTCTCCCAGTGAGAGGGGGAGCCCAGACCCCCGCGCATCTCCCAGTGAGAGGGGAGCCCAGACCCCCGCTCCTCTCCCAGTGAGAGGGGAGAGCCCAGACCCCCCCGCCTCTCCCAGTGAGAGGGGAGATCCCAGACCCCCCGCCTCTCCCAGTGAGAGGGGAGAGCCCAGACCCCCCTCTCCCTGTGAGAGGGGAGAGCCCAGACCCCCCCGCCTCTCCCAGTGAGAGGGGAGAGCCCAGACCCCCCGCCTCTCCCAGTGAGAGGGGAGAGCCCAGACCCCCCCCCCTCTCCCAGTGAGAGGGTGGGGCCCAGACCCCCCTCTCCCTGTGAGAGGGGGGAGACCAGACCCCCCGCCTCTCCCAGTGAGAGGGCAGAGCCCAGACCCTCCCCCCCTCTCCCAGTGAGAGGTGGGGCCCAGACCCCCCTCTCCCAGTGAGAGGGGGGAGACCAGACCCGCCATCCCCCCCGCCTCTCCCAGTGAAAAGGGAGAGAGGGCAGGTCATCTTCCTGATTCAGTGTTGCCAGCACATGAGGTATAGAAGAATACAAACGTCAGAGCCGCGGTGACTTGTGGGATCCAGAAATCTTCATGCATGGATATGGCAACACTGGCCCCGGAACCAGTTTTCCGGTTCCTTTGCCTCCCAAGCGAAAAGACCTGGGTTCGAATCCCTGGCAGGCTGGAATTATTGGATACAGCTTCTTATCTTCGTTCGCTGATGTGGAGTAATTGGAGTTTCTAGCTGGAACCAATCGTATTGGCGTTTGCCTTTAAAGTTGGAGATTTTCGATGCCGTGGAGCGAGGGGACCTGCTGCATGGGTAACAGCTTCTCCCCTGTATCCACCTACCCAGGCTTTGCGCCCTGAAGAGGGGGACCTGCTGCATGGGTAACAGCTTCTCCCCCGTATGAACCTACCCAGGCATTGTGCCGTGGAAGGGGGGGCCTGCTGCTTGGGTAACAGCTTATCCCCTGTATCCACCTACCCTGGCTTTGCGCCCTGGAGAGAGGGGGACCTGCTGCATGGGTAACAGCTTCTCCCCCGTATCAATCTACCCTGGCTTTGCGCCCTGGAGAGGCCACTCCAGACCGACAACCAGAGCCCAACTCCATAGTCTCCTGAGAGTGATGAATGCCTACTAGACCTGGAGGTAAATCAAATTCAGAATTGTATTCCGAGAAAACAATGTCTTTGGAAAAGCTGATCGGTTTAAGGCCAAACTAGCCTAACCGGTGCTTGTGGTACAAGGCCTGAAGCCCAAGCAAAGCCAAAACCGATATATTTACAGGTTCACTGTTTACCAGTACACACACACACACACACACACACACACACACACACACACACACACACACACACACACACACACACATACACACATACACACATACACACACACACTCTCTCTCTCTTTCTCTCTCTTTCTCTCTCTTTCTCTCTCTCTCTCTCTATCTCTCTCTCTCTCTCTCTCTCTCTCTCTCTCTCTCTCTCTCTCTCTCTCTCTCTCTCTCTCTCTCTCTCTCTCTCTCTCTCACTCACCCTTACTGGGACTCTTGTCCCAACAACAATATATAATAACACACTCAGTATGGAAGGTTCCTCAGAGCCTTCCCACATCTACGCAGAAGGCTCTCCAGTTGGACAATAACACATAGTCTCATCTGACCTGACTGAAAAGACTTGTGACGCCATTCTCGCGGTCAATCAACGGCCCCCATGGACATGTATGGAAGTTAGTCACTGTGTGAAAGGAACAGGAAATTGTAGTCTGATTTCCATTTTACCATCCATGACGTTGGGTATTGACTTGGTCGACCTCCTGGCATGTTTGGGAGTACGAGATACGAGTGCGGAGATGGAGTGTAGGTTATTGACATGCAGAAACTCTACATTACATTTCCAACTTGTCCTCCTACAAAGAACGTCGCTTTTCGATCGTAGGCGTTACATTAGGCTCAAAGGTTGTCGTACTAGAAAGCTGCTCGCGAAAGTGATGTACTGTCTCGTTTTCTGTTTGGGGTTCTCTGGTAGGTTAGGAGAGACCACTTTAAATTGACCGTTTTCTTGGACAATGAATGAATGATTCATTCATTCTGAAGATGTATTAATATACGAAAGTACTTAAGGAAATTCCTGTTTCAATTCTTCCTCCGTGGTCTGACACTGTCACATTTTTCATCACGTGTTAATTTTCGTGATTTAAACACACATACACATTATATATATATATATATATATATATATATATATATATATATATATATATATATATATATATATATATATATATATGTCGTACCTAGTAGCCAGAACGCACTTCTCAGCCTACTATGCAAGGCCCAATTTGCCTAATAAGCCAAGTTTTCATGAATTAATTGTTTTTCGACTACCTAACCTACCTAACCTAACCTAACCTAACTTTTTCGGCTACCTAACCTAACCTCACCTATAAAGATAGGTTAGGTTAGGTTAGGTAGGGTTGGTTAGGTTCGGTCATATATCTACGTTAATTTTAACTCCAATAAAAAAAAAATTGACCCCATACATAAAGAAATGGGTAGCTTTATCATTTCATAAGAAAAAAAATTGAGAAAATATATTATTTCAGGAAAACTTGGCTTATTAGGCAAATCAGGCCCTGCATAGTAGGCAGAGAAGTGCGTATATATATATATATATATATATATATATATATATATATATATATATATATATATATATATATATATATATATATATATATATATATATATATATATATATATATATATATATATTGAAAAATAGATGAAAAAAACTCAGACACAAACCAGGTGAAGGAATAAGAAGCAGGTGCAAGAGACCATACCGGGGCCCACAACCCCGGTACAAGGCACTCCTGAACCACACTTTCGGTCTCTAATGGTGCCCAAACCCGCCAGACCTGGCGCTCCTTCGCCTGGCGCTCGCACTCTTAAAATATTGAGAAGAGTTCGCCAGCGGCTGCTTTACTGGTCTTAATGCTCTCTTACCCCGAGTTCCCAGTCGCCCGGAGCGTGGGCCTTCGTGTCTGCTGCTTGTGCGAGTTGTAGAAGTCCTGCAATATTGCTCGGAGATCAACGAGGGTGGGGGGGGGTGTTGTTGTTGTATTTGTGTGTGGGTGTTTTTGTTATTTGTTACTCTGGGGGCTTGTTTGTTAATTTTTTGTTCATTTTAATATATGTTTTGTCAGGTAATGTTTTTGTTAAGGCTGTGTTTGTTGAGTATTTCTGAGTTCTTTAACATTTCTCTTTCATATTTTTTTCATATTTTCACTAGCTCCTCGTGCATTCCTAATCCTCTTTTTTCCCTTCTTCCCTATTCCCCTTCTTCCATCTTCTCTTAATTCACCCTATTTCCTAATTTACTTCAGTGGTCACTTTTCTCACAAATTCTCTCCACCAATCACTCCACAGTCCCTCTCCCTCAGTGATGGTCACTACCCCATTTCCTGCCCTTTCAACCACCCATTTCCCAAAACCCCCCTTTCTCATCCCATCTCCAAACCCATACTTTTCCCCTCAAACTTTCCCCAATTCCCCTAATCCAAATATTCTTTCCCATTTCCCTCCCCAATTCCTGTAACTCCATACTTGCCTATCCCAAACCCCCCTAATTCCCAACCTGCCATTCCCAAGCCCCTATCCCAGCCCCCCCCCCCTAAAAAAAATCACCCCACCCACCCACCAACGTCGTCAGATGTCGTTGGGAATAGCAGACAACTGGAGAGTATCCCAGCACTGGGATATGAGGACAAGGAGCTGGGATGTGAGGACAAGGAGCTGGGATATAAGGTCAAGGAGCTGGGATATGAGGTCAAGGAGCTGGGATATGAGGTCAAGGAGCTGGGATATGAGGACAAGGAGCTGGAATATGAGGACAAGGAGCTGGGATATGAGGTCAAGGAGCTGGAATATGAGGTCAAGGAGCTGGGGTATGAGGACAAGGAGCTGGGGTATGAGGACAAGGAGCTGGGATATGAGGATAAGGAGCTGGAATATGAGGACAAGGAGCTGGGATATGAGACCAAGGATCAGGGATAGGACGGAGAGAAGCAACAAAATGCAACTTGCACCATTGGGTATCGAACGCCGACCTGCAAAAAAGCGAGTCAATCGCTATACCGACCAATCCAAATTGTTGGATTGACTTCCGTTTGTCGGGGACAGGAAGCCTGCATTTAGTCTTTGTTTAGTTTTTCCCCTCCTTAGGCTAACCTTCTTCAAGATGCCACCCACAACAGTTGCCTAACTTCAGGGTACCAATATACATTTAGGTGAACAGATGCATCAGGAGAACCGAAATGCTCCCAACTGTTTCTGTCCTGCGCGGGGGCTTGAACCCTAATCAACATTTTATCCCCCAGCAAGGCTGAACAAAGCGGCGGCTGAGGCCCTCTACGGCACTCAGAACGACCTTTGACCTGATTATTAGTGACAATCAGTGCCAAGGTCAGGAGTCATTTAGTGTCTGAGTGGCCACTTACGTCATCTGTGTCTGTTATCTCGATCATGCTCTGATTGGTTGTGGTTTTTATTGAAGGCGTGATCTGATTGGTTGTGGTTTCTATGGGAGTCGTGACCTGATTGGTTGTGGTTTCTATAGGAGGCGTGATCTGATTGGATGTAGTTTCTATGGGAGGCGTGATCTGATTGGTTGTGGTTGCTATGGGAGGCGTGATCTGATTGGTTGTGGTTGCTATGGGAGGCGTGATCTGATTGGTTGTGATTGCTATGGGAGGCGTGATCTGATTGGTTGTGGTTGCTATGGGAGGCGTGATCTGATTGTTTGTGGTTGCTATGGGAGGCGTGATCTGATTGGTCGAGGTTTTCAAAATGTAACTTAATTCTTAGATTATATTGTACAAACATAAATAATCATAAATAATCTTTTTGTGTTATTAAATCTAATGAACTCAATTTGAATTAGTCTTGAGGCTGCAATGGACACAATGATGACAAAGTTTGAGTGCTGCAATGAACACCAATGCAATGGTGTCCATTGCAAAGCTTGGGTTTACAATGGACACCATTTGAACTAAGCTGAGGCTGCAATAGACCATCACGACAAAGTTGTTGACCAGACCACACACTAGAAGGTGAAGGGACGACGACGTTTCGGTCCGTCCTGGACCATTCTTAAATCACGAATAAGCTTGAGGCTGTAATATGATCCTTCTGGACAAGACTAACCTACTCACTAGTTCAATAGTCAAGGCGAGTAGAGTTGTCAATTGCAGTTTCACACAAACTTTAGATCAAACAACACTAAGTCTGGAGAATGTCAGGGGCCTTGTTTGTGACTTAACACCTTAACTAGAGTTCAGGAACTTTGTCACAAGAACTGACCAACCGTTCCCTAAAATTCACCCATTACTACAGGAAGAGGGGAAACTCCATCAGGACTTGAACCATTGGTATTGTTAGTGACTTTCTCAGTCGCGTCCTCTATGCATAGTGGAGCCGGTGGCAAGGTAGTTCTATTGGTAATAGAAACGTCTTGATCCAACAGGTTCTCAATAAGTTTTCTTGATGTGCTCTTATTGGCAGCGTCTTCGTGGTTGATGCGAAGCAATTCCCTGAGAGGAAGCTGTTTGTCGGGTGTGGGGGAGTGGGCATGTTTGCTGCTTTCCTTATATCGGAAGCTAGAAGGGAACTATCAGGAGTTAGTACCAAGTCATTACTTCTGTATGGCACTGGGAAGGGGTCAGGGTAAGGATTTGGGATGGAATGGGGGGAAGGAATTTTGCCTAACCACTTGGACGGTTGGGGATTGAACGCCGACCTGCATGAAGCGAGACCGTCGCTTCAGAATTCACCAGAACAAGCTGTCACCAGAAAACCTAGAGCTTTCTGGTGTTCTGGTGACAGCCATGACTTCCTCCCCGTATGGAAAGTTGAGAAATGGAACGAGAAGGTTGTAGAAGCCAATTCCACTCACAGTCTCAATCCCAGATATGTAAGGAGACATATAGATCGGAAATCATTGAATATGAAGACTGACAGCTAAAAAGATGGAACCCAAGAGGTGAAGGTTGGTCCTGCAAGCGGACAGAGATTAATTCTATCTCAAAAGCAATATTCTAGATCCGATATTAACCATCTGTGTAGCCATCTTCAGCTGTGCAAACTAATGAAAAACCTTATATATATATATATATTTAACATTAAGATTGCAACGCTGCTTCTCAATATCTTGACACGTTTGCAAGATGACCCGTATTGCTTGCAACATGTGTGTGAAAGGACATAAAGATGCTCTTCTCCCCTAGCCAATATTGCAGCAAATAGCATTCTGCAATGTAAAGGAAAGCTGGTGTGTGTGTGTGCTGTATTGCAGAGATATGACCGCCAGGCCGTGCCAGACCGCTGACTCAGTGGTGTTGGCAATATATTATTTTGCTGGCTAACATACCATTGTCACACTGTAAAAAGATGAGGTCCATTGCAGCCTCCAGCTTAGTTCAGATCGAGTCCTTTGTGGCCTTAACTTTAGTCCAGACGGAATCTTTTACAGCATCAAGCTTAGTCCAGATGGAGTCTATTGGAGCCTCCAGCTTAGTTCAGATCGAGTCCTTTGTGGCCTTAACTTTAGTCCAGACGGAATCTTTTACAGCATCAAGCTTAGTCCAGATGGAGTCTATTGCAGCCTCCAGCTTAGTTCAGATCGAGTCCTTTGTGGCCTTAACTTTAGTCCAGACGGAATCTTTTACAGCATCAAGCTTAGTCCAGATGGAGTCTATTGTAGCCTCCAGCTTAGTTCAAATGGAACCCGTTGCAGTCTCAAGCTTAGTTCAGATGGGTTCCATACCAATATTGGGATATATTGTTGCTGGCTCAGCTTCTGGAAGACAAAGTTAAGTGTGCATGAACCTCATACAGGAAACTAGTATACATAGCATGCATACAGTGTTGTACATTGCAAACCAGTATACATAATATGTATTCCGTGTTATACTATAAACAACGCCAGCAATGCAATCATTT